TTTCAAACATTTATTGAATCATTATTATGAAATAATTATTTTCAAACATGCTGTCGATATCTTGTATAAATGTAGTTCAGCCAGCTTTGGTCACCAAGGTCATAATTACTTCTTCCACATGACAAGGATGGATTTTAGAGATCAGGGTTCCTTAGTTCTGGTCCTGGAGGTCTGATGTCCTTCTAGCAGTGCAGGACCTCCAGGACTGGAAGAGAGGAACCTGGTTTAGAGATCAGTAATGTTTGCAGTCGGGGTCCTTGCTCATTCCACTGTTCCTCCTCTCTTCAGCAAAACTGTTTTCATTTGGAGCGAGATGATCATGAATCGGTGCTGATCACATTCTGATCAACCTTTCTGTATTGATTTGACCTGTTTTAGTTTATCATTCTGCTTAAGGTTCAGAAATATTTCCGTTTTCTCTGAGAGGCGACCACATGATGTATCTTTGATTTAGCAGTGATAACCGACTGAAACACTAAAAGCAGGTGTGTTTGCAGGACACTTTGATGGACGAGGCGTAACCCTGCTGGAGGTGTGTGGGAGCTGGCCCGAGAGCTTTGGGGTGCCGAGGCACCATATCGGATCGGCCGACATCAGCGATGAAGGCCTGAGGGAGAGACTAGCCGACGCCATGTCCGAGTCCCCTTCCAGGGACATTGTGGGCTCTGCTACAGGTCGGTAGAGTCTGAGGGATTGTGCTCCTAAATCCCTTCCATGTGTTCCTGTGTTTGCACCGTTTGCTGCTACGCTGCAGACACTAACTCCCGCTCCAGTTAGTCCGGTCCGTCCGCCAGACTGATGTCCACTACCTGGAAAACTAAATGAGGGAGCTACCTCCTCGCTTCAGTTTATTTATTTAGCACCAATTCACAACACGTCAGCTCAGGTCACTTTACAGAGACAATTCAACCTCCTCCTAGAACAGCCTATAGCAGCATCACTATAGAGATAGAGTAAAGCAGAATGATGAAATCGGGGTCCCTATGTCCTCCAGCAGTCTAAG